CGTCGTTATCGTGGTATGGAATTGCCTAGCCGTTTGGATAAGGAACATGAATTAAAGTACAAAATTGAAATACTCTTTGAGTTTCCTCAACCAGGAAATTTACGTAGATCTATGGCTGATATTGATTTCTGTCCATCAAATGGCGATATCTTTGCAGTTGCTTATGGTATTTTCTCCTTTTCAGCATCAACTGTTCCCAAATCTGGGCAGGTATGCATTTGGAGCGTTAAAAATCCAGAAAACCCTGAACGTATATACAATTATCCGTTACCTTGTACTGCTGTCAAATTTTCACAATTTTTGCCTTCTTTAATTGCTATCGGCTTATACGATGGTAATGTGGAAGTGCGTGATATAACTTTTCCTGATATGCCTCCAGTCAGTGTTTCCAATCCTGAAACATTAAGTGGCTGTGAAAGTATTGTGACAATTAGATGGATTAAGAAAAATGAGACAGATGGTAGTGATGGCATTGACCCATTTTTATCACTTGCACAAGATGGTTGCGTTACGAAATTTCGTATTGTTAGTGGACCATATCTTATATCATATGCTCAAATGATATTAGAACGTGTAGAGGGTAAGGTTGAAGGAATTCAAATTCGAGAACCAAGAGATGCTATACAATTTTCAAGTCAAAGTCCACAGGGCTTAAATTTAACTGTACACCCAACAGCAGCTGATATTTACTATATAATGACAGACGAGGGTTGTATATATAAGTGCTCAACAAGCTATGCACATCAGTATTTAGATGTTATTCGAGCACATAGGAGCGCAGTTAATATGTTGGATTTTTCACCATGGTCACCAAAGGTGTATCTTACTTGCGGAAACGATTGGTAAGAAAATGTTTTTTTTTTCTGTTCATTTTTTATATGAAGTGAAATTAAAATAAATGAAAATAATAAAAAAAAAATATAAAAATTGGAATAATAATTATTATTATCCTTTAAGGTGCATACGTGTTTGGGTTGAGGGTATCTATAAACCACTCATAACACTTAAAGATCAGTTTACGCCATTAAACTGTGCTTATTGGAGTCGCACACACTCCACAATCATCATTGCTATAAATCGAAAAACAGTGGATATATGGGATATACGCCGTAATTTACTGAAACCAATATCATCCACAAATTTGCAAAGCTCCTTCCAAACAACGGCAAAGTAATTTATATGCTGAATTCAAATATTTCATTAAAAATTTTATTTTATTTTATTTAATATTTAATTTTATTTAAATTTACTTTATTTCAATATTTTTTCCATATATAGAATAGCCAAATGTGGGCATTCAATTGCGGTGGGTAATGAACGGGGCACTACAATGATGTGTCAACTGGTTGACATGCCGTATGAACCTCATTTCCAATATGATGAGCTGGAGAAAGCAATTTTCAAAGCTATTGCTCTGCACCCAGATTTGATAAATGAACTTAGAAATATTGGATACTTCGGTTATAAAAATAAAGGACAAGTTTTACCACCATAAAAATCAAAAATATATTTATTTATATTTATTTATTTATTTATATTTACTTATTTAAGAGTTAAATAAAACGGTACACAATTAAAAGTATAAAAATATTACATTTCTTTAAAAATATGTAATGAATTAAAGTAAATGAAAATTAAAAAAAATATATAAGATCTAAATTAATTAATGAAATAATGAATTAAGTAACAGCAGTGGGGGTAAGACGTGGGTTATGAATTTTTTCTGTAAGTAATATTGCATATTGATTTTGATTTGTTGATAAATGTTAAGATTTTGTGATGAATAGTTTTCTTCCTCTGAAAGAAAAAACCAAATCATTAAAGATATGTTTTTGATTATCATGAGATACTTCCGAAGGTGAAGAGTTACAGTAGATACTGAAAAAAAGAAAGCCTTTTGCATTTCATGTCATCTAAATATAAATTCAAGTAATATAAAATTGAGTAATGTGGAATAGAAAGGGAAGATAGTATAAGATATTTAGGTTTGACAAAAGGTACAGATGTATCGGTCATTAAACTGGCTTATAATATAATTTTGAATGTTTGGAAACTATTAACACAATGACTTTCGTTAACTTTCATTCTTTATAGGCAAGTAATTAGACCTAAACGAACTATTGGTTGTGTATCTTGTGAAAATTTCATTAGAAAATTTCAAATTGATCAAAATATTATACTGAGATACATGCTAAAATCTTCATGAAATACTGGTTATGTCGACATACATGGAGAATTATAAATCGAAATCTCATACCAATTCGGAAAAATGCACTCTCTTAAAACAAATGCAATATTTATTCTATCAGAAAGATATGCTGGGCGTAGTATATTAAACACTTATACTATATATACTTCTAGAAAATAATCTGAAAAACTTATAATTTAATGGAACACATGTTACAGAAGATAATCTAAGGGATCAAAGACAATACTGAGTAGAGAATGCTTAAGATACTAACGCGAGTTTCATCAGAAATGAAGATTGACATATTGAGATCAATTAATAATTGCATAAGTACATCAATCAGTTATTTAGTCATTTTGTTATCTTTAATGTAACACTTGTTACAGTGGATCATGCAAGTGATCACAGGCATTAATAAGTAGCATAAAAGCGGAGAACAAGATTCTCATATTGAGACCTATTTATAAATGCATATCAATCAGTTTGTCAGCTATCTTGTTTTCTTCAATGTTATACTTTTTAGAGTGGATCATCCAAGTGATCACTGCCATTGTTGAGTAGAGTGCATTAGACACTAATTGACGTTTCATCAAGCATAGAAGCAGAAAATATTAATTAATTAATATAATTAAAAAGTCATTGGTTGAAAAATATATTTTAACTCAAACCAATTAATATACAAGGGCGGTTTGATAAGTCAGTGACTTTTTGAATAAACCAAATTTTTTTCGGCAAATAAACATTTTATTTTTCTACATAATCACCTTTTAGCTCGATAAATTTAGTCCAGCGTTTTTTCTAATTTTCTTTTTCCCTGCAAATAATAGGTTTTCTCAAAGCTCTTAAAATACGCGTTTGTTTCGGTAATGACTTCTTCATTCGACTCAAATCTCTTACCGCCCAGCCATTTCTTTATGTTTGGAAACAGAAAATAGTCGCTAAATCTTGAGAATATGCTGGATGGGGTAGCAGTTCGTATTCCAATTAGTGGATTTGGGATCGTAATGCTTAATCAGTACACGAAGTTTACTTTTTTCCATTTTCGTAAAAGTTCACGAGGTTGTCTGCTTTGAACGGCTATGAAACACCAACTAAACGACGTAGCTTGCTCAAAATTAAAAAGTTGCCCACTGGTAGATTACAGCTGACGGCAGCACTGTGCATTTGGACTGCTCGGGAAATTCAAAAAGTCACTGACTTATCAAACCGTCCTCGTATAATATTCAATAATATATAATATTTATTTATATATTTACTCCGTTTTCTATAATTTAAACGCTTATAATTCAAAAATCATCCGATATTAAGACTTGCAATATCAGTATCGCCATAAGTAAAAAATTAAAAATAAATCGAAAAATTGACGAGTTAAAATATTAAAAAAATATATATAAAAAATTTTTATATATTTTTGATTTCATATGCCTATACAATTTTAATGACTTATTTCTGTATTTATTTATTAATCTTATTATTATTTTAATTCTTTATTTATTATATTTCAATTATAACCAAGTTATGTGATTATTATTTTTTATAAGTAAAAAGTTCTGGCTTTTAATAATTAATTAAGTAATTAACTTATGCTTATTTATTTATCATACTAAATTAATAAATAATCGCATGAAAATGGGCTAATACTCAGCTCCTTATAATTTCGATGTATCCTTCTTCTAAATAATCAATTTAAGGCTTGTGTTGCAAATTGAGATTATAATTCGAATGGAAAATATTATTCTAATAAATTATTAATGCTATCGCTTCATTTGTGTACATGACCATCTCTACTATCAGCTCATCGAGTACATCTTTCGCTTTAATAGATACTATTTTGTATATCCTTCGGGTATACTTAATTTAATAATGAAGAATATAAATAAAAGGCTATTAATATTTAAACAGTTTCGTCTGACGAAACTGTACCTGCAAATAATGTGGCAGGATACGTAACGCACAGCAAAATGAAAGCATATGTTAGGGCGCTAACATGCAAATTAAAGGCAAAAGCTACGTTGATGTAGAATTTATAAGTTTATTATCGTTACAGTCAGAAAATGACAAAGACAAATATTTTATTTTATTTGCATATTTTTCACAACAAAATATTTATGCCTGCTTTATTTTAAAATTCGTATCTTTTGCTTATATTTATTTTACATTTTTGTAACTTTGGAAAACGTACTGACAAAACAAGCAAAGGACTTTTGCATTTGCATATCCTCAATGAGAGAGTATCTCATCTCGAAGTTGTGGTAGGATTTTTGTTGAATTTTATGCTTTAATTTTCGTTTGAAATTTTTGTAATTGTTTTCCTCTTTGAGTTCCTCAAGTTGAAGAAAGAAAAATACAAACAGAACAAATTGATATGCATATTTTGTGGAAAAGTCAAGTGCGTATCTGAAATGCAAAGGACTTGAAAAATTATGCCAAAAGTACACAAAATACACTTTGAGCTATGAAAATGCTCTTGGGCTTACGCAGCAATGCTATAGTTTATGCTTTTAGGTTTGATTTATTTACAAAAATATTAATACAAAATATACTATGTAAAGTTTACTCTACCAAAATGTAATCAAAGTAAAGTAAATATTTTTAGTTTAAATTAATGAATTAAACTGGAATGAAAACTTACAGTACAATCTGAAAAACAAAAAAAAATTGCTTTCGTTTTACTATCTACAAGATACATAGATAATAAACATCTGCTACGACAACAATCTATTGGCGGGAGTGAATGAAACCAAAGCCACTTTACCCAAAAGTTTGAAATTTATATTCTGCTTAGATTCACTTAACATCCAATAGTTCATGGAGCACTAACACTAACACTAACACTTTTCATAGTTCAAAGAAAACCAAACCATTAATTACAAAAAATAATGAAATTTTCATTCCATCATAAACAAATGTTAATAAATGAGTATAAAAGTTATGAAAGTGGAAAGTTTCTAATTAAGATACAGAATATTATTATATCCATTTTAAAAAAATTTTATATTTAAATGGAAAGAGTTATTTATAGGAAGAAAAAGCATAAAGAACAAACACATTAATCAGCTAGTATTAAACTTTATTATATATTAAAATATATTATATATTGTATTATATATTGTAAATGTCACATGAATTTGTTTCCCTTGTTAACAAAATTTTATCAGAACTATAAATATACATATTAAAAAAAAAAAAAAATTTATATATATATGTCATGATTCCTCCCTTAATTAGTTGCTACCAAGATTTGAAGACCTTCTCGATCCAGGGAAGCATGATTCCTCCCTGAATTAGTTGCTACCAACATTTTGTTGAAGGCTTTGTCGAAAAGAAAAAAAATATTATGAAGAATATTTATTTTTCAGATACCTAACTTCTGCTAGACGCCGAGTACAGAGATTAGAAGCCCCTTCTTTGATGATCACAAGGAACATTAGAAACTGATATCATAAACTCTATAAAATGCTGAAAGACAATCTTCTGTTTTAAATAAAGAGGAAAATATTCGAATCAGAAATGCATAAGTTATATAAAGAAGGAGAGGGAGTGTTACTTGATTGTGAACCCCAGTAAAACATTTTTGTTCACTTTGCACTATATGTAATTTACTTAATTTAATGGCTGAATATAAACTTTGAATTAATTTTCAGAAATCTTTCATAAATAAATAACAACTATATTCTAGTTTATTAAAATTATTATTATTTCTAATAACTATAGCATTATTTAATTATTAAGTGGAGGCCAATTAATTTGTAAGAAGATTCAGTAAGCCCTTTAAAATGAGTCATCAAGTTAACAAAACATTTTAATGAATATACATACCTATATAATTATACATAAATAAATAAAACTATAAAAAATATTACTGAAAGCTAATAAGTGATTAAATAAAGAAATAAGTAAATGCAATGATTAATTTGAATATAAATATATAGAAATATAAAAAAGTATTTCAATGAAAAAATAATAAAAATAGGTCAATGAAAATTTGAGAGAATGAGCAAATATATCATTAATTTATATATTTAAATATTAAAAAATTAATACTTAAATAAAAAGGCAAAATCTATAACTTGAATAAATTTAAAAACTAATAAGTTATGTATTAAGTTGATAATAAAAAATGAATATATATTTGAAATACATTAAGACCGAAAAGTTTTCGGAAATTCTCATTTAAAATTCGCGCGCTGTATATTTTTCGATATTTTAAGTTTATGTAGTTTGGCAGCACTGTCCTTAATTACTATGCCAAAAATGAGCGCGATCTGTCAGACAGTTCGTTTACGGCAGCTGTTGAAACCAGTTCACCTCAGTAGGGCGTTGCGAAAAAAACA